GAATTGAGCCTGTGGTTTGACTGGGCCGGTTTCGAGCCATACATTTATATTTTTCGAACCGTTGAGCCAATTCTGACATAGAACCGAAACCTGAACAGGCCGGTTCCTCTTATTATTTTATTTTATTTTATTTTTTTATTATTTTTTAGCCATTTTTTATTTAAATACAATCGGCCTGACCCGCCGGTTCATGAACCGGCCTGGATTGCCTGTTCAATGAGCCAACCCGTGCATATATCCAAACTTATTCAGGGGCCTCCGAACCTCGATTCGGAATCAGAATTTGGCCATGTGCAAGTCCAGCCCAGCCAAGAAGCCTTTTGCTTGTTTGTTTATTATTGTTGTTATTATTTAGAGGAACTTACGGCTCTCACGACCAAACAACCATTTATTTACACTATTACATGTCAATAAAAACATTTAGCAAATGTACTAAATCTTTTTTTTTTTAATTGCAAATAGACGAGAATTATATTCGTGGAGATATTTATTTTGTTCGTGGAGATATTATTTGAGTTATTCGTGGAGATATTTGATTTTTTTGTAGAGATATATGATTTGACCGATATTATGGGAGTAGTTACCAAATAAAAACAAACTGACTCCACCTTTACGCCTAATTACTCCACATCTCACCCACGTCCAAATTGCCCACTCACCCACTCCGTCAACTCAACTTCCTCCACAGTAAACCCTAGGTTCATTTTTTGCGGATAGAACCAAAATCCCCCCATAGCCGGTGAAACACTCAACCGTGGTGCCAGTGTAGATGCACGTAGGAGGTGGAGTTCTCGCATGAGAAAAATAGTAGACAGAGATAAAAGTAAACTTATTCAGAAAAAACTCGATTTTGAAAGAAACATGAAGCCAAGTGGATCTCGCAAGGCATCCGAAAAATCTCGCCATGTTAAAAGGCGTGACTGATCGAGAACTCATTCTCGCGGTGGAGGACCGGTGGCCTAACGCGAGCGTCGTTGGTGAAGGTGATGTTGGAGGGGCCGACGGTCTCGGCTCCGGCGCTGCCAATGGTTGTATCATTGATGAAGCAGGTGCAAGGTTGGAGCAAATTGCAAGAACAGTAGGAGGAGTACTATAGCGAACATATATCGAAACTTTTGAATGGGCAATATATGTTGAGTATATAGACAGTTTATTTTCAGTATATAGACAGTTTATGATTTGTATATTAAAAGATTTTAAGGATACATCCGATATGATTTGTTTCATTGTTTATTTGATGTTTATTCATAAGTTATTGATCTTTTTCAATGATTATTTGATGTTTATTCATAGTTTATTTTTTGTGTATTTAGAAGTTTTTTGTAGAAGGCGAAAATTGACAAAGCAGCAATTTATTTATTTATTTATTTATTTTTTTTTTTGTTGATTATAGGTGTTGATATCCGAGTTGGACACCTACGAAGATGCTGGTTCGAGGACAAGGAACCGGAAGAGGGCGACCAGATCTTCTAGGCCGATCTCTGAGCAATCACGTAAGTGCTGAGCTGGCCAAAGACCAGAGTCAACGAGGACGATGCGCTACACCATATCCGAGGACGGTACCCTGATCACCCCGCTATGATGCCGACCTGGGAGAGTGCCGATCGGAGGAATAGGACCCCGAATGCCGGGGGATGAACGAATGCTGGGAGTCCGACCTGAGGTTGTTGTCAGGTCGGCACGGGCTGAGGACCTGGAAAGTAATATTATAATGCCACTTGTCATGTATTAGTCTAGCCTGCAACCCTATGAAACCTAGCCTGGCATAAAGGCCTGTCCGCATTTAATGCAGCCCATACATGCATTAAATGCTTAATAGGTAATGATTGGTTAAACCACAAATCACTCCCAATCTGTCAGATGGACTCCGGCCTGTCCCTCCGAGCTACTGTACGACAAGACAACATGAACAGTAGAGGAACAATGCCGAATTTAAGGATATTATAAATAGAAAACCCACTTCATTTATTTTGGGTTGTTGAAATCATCAACTACTACCTTCTCTCTACATTTTCTCTCTCTACAACCTGTAATAAATTCATGTAAGAATTCCAAGTGTAACAAAAGTGTCGACCTCGCAATTACGTAATAAATTTCCTTTTTCGCAGTATCCCTTTATTAATCCACCTTTTTGCTCTCAATACATTTTATTTTAACTGTTGATCGGATCCGTCCATCAACAATAGGCTATTTTTCATAATTATGTATATGTTGCATTTATAGACATTATATTTTCAGTATATGTTGCGTTTTTAAACATTTTGTTTAGACTTCCGGCGATGTCGAAACATTGATAACAATACATAAACTGATCATATATGAAACATAAACTATTTAACTGATTATAACAGTACTGATCGCATATCAAACTCTTAAATATACAATACATTAACAACCATACACCACCAGAAAAATAACAAACAAAAGTTCCACTTCAAAACACTATAAATTGCAGATTCTGTAGACGAAACATATACTTAAAATATACAATACATAAACTGATCATATACCAAACATAAAATATTAATAAACATTAGATAAATATAATTCGAAAAATAATTTAAACTGATCGAATCGAACCCAATACTCGTACTAAGACCGAAACCGCGGCCATGACCATTGAGCGTCCGTCGGATCTTGATGAGCGCTCCCCTCTTCAACGACCTCTAGCCCTTGCTCTCAGTAATTGCAGCCAAGAAGCGGCTTAGATCAGCGGCGAGCCCGTCGAGGGGCTGGAAGCGTAGAACGAAGCTCATCGATGAAATTGATGTTTATCAGTTTTTTTTTTTTTTTTCTCAATTATGGACAGAAACATAATACATGTTTTTTTTCAATTAATGAAAGAATCGCATTAGTTACCAGAGTATTCATAAGGTAACTTTTTTCTTTTTTCTTTTTTTAATGCCCCGTTTTATTTACCTAGTAATAATCTAAATAAATAGCTTTACTTAGGTACATGTGCAATAAAGTTTTTGCATCTAGCCTTCTTGCAATATTTTAACAATCAGTAAATAAGAATGAAAATTGCCCTATTATTTACTTTGAACTCTATTTAATTGGGGTTTAAGTCCACTTAAATTTCGATTGGCACATAGACAGACTGTGGATCACCTGTTGCTTCAATGTAGTAGGGTTCTCTGTTGGAAGCTTAGTGGGCTTAACTGGAGGCATCAGGGAGACCAAAACTAGAGCTTTAAAAAATGGTGGTATGATAGTTGTAACATGATGGAGAGGAATGCAAGGACAGATAGACTTAACTTGGCAGCTTGTGTACTCTGGAGGATTTGGAAAAGCAGGAATGCTTGGACATTTAATAGAGTACGAGAATTGGATTGGGAAACTGCTAACCAAGCTAGAGAAGAATGGAGGGAGTTTGCATAGGTCAAAGAGACATGCTTAAACCAATGTCACCTCGGGCTGAGACATTTTCCAAGGAAGTAGGACAAGTGAGGAGCTATGTCAGTGCTTCATGCTCACCAGGAGGGAACATTGGCATAACCTGCATGGCTGTGAAGAATGGACAGGAACTTGTCAGATGGATAGATATTGGGTCAGATCACCTAGCAATTCAGACAAGACTGCTACTGATGACAAAAAGGATGATCCACAAGTTGATTCAGTGGGTTAGCAAATATTCGTGGGTTAGCTGATTCAGTGGTCCATTGTTGTTTCATGTTTGATCCCAGCAAATATTAGTTTGGAATTCTCGTTTTTATGTTTTTTGCTTCTTTGCGATTGACGGACATATTATTGGTGATCATGTTTGTGCTTAGCTTATCTAGTTATAAGCTATGTATTATTTTCTCAGTTGAGCAAGCGGTTGTAAGACTTCTTTGAGATTTTATCAACCAATCATTCTTACAAATCACATCAATTTTAATTCACTATTCATCTATTCACATAATTTAAACTATCACTTCACATCATATTTTTCCTATTTTTACATCAAATCAACTTTAATTATTTTATTTTAAATATTATTTCAATATAAATTGAAAATCCCACTAATAGCTAACCATACCACATTTTTTAAAAAATAATCATAGTTAAACAAAAAAAAAAATCGCCTTAAACAGCAACACAATTAGACGGCTACACCAACATAAAAAACGGGAATTCGCTATTCAATAAAAGCTACAACAAAAATACAAAGTCTACGAAAACTATAAGGCCTAATTGCCGGTAAAGACACCACCTTACAACTTGTTGCCGTTTTAACCAAACTTTTAGAATTTAGCACGAAAAACCTAACCTTGTCCAATGTTTGCAACCCGAACCCAAAATGAAACGACCTTCTCATTTTTGCCACCGTGTCCGTTAGCGTTACCTACGTGGCCAAACGTGCTGCTAATGTGGTAAAACCAGTAAAAACTAGTATAAATACACACATTTTCCCCTAGTGACCGATGGTTTCCCATTTTCACGACTTTTAGACTTCGATTTTTTTTTTCTCTCTTTGAAAACATTGTGGTCCCATTGTTGTCGAAGCTCACAATCTTGTCGTCGAAACGCACAAATTGCGGTCCCATTGAAGCGATTATGACCGATAGGTATGCCAATCCTTCATTTTTTTAATTTGTTGTCGAAATTCTAAAATTCAAAGTCGTCGTTCGAATTCGAACTTTGCTGGGAACATTTTGTTTGTTTTTGAATTTTTTAACCAGTGTTAATTTTATATTAAGTAGTGATCCATTTGTTAAATATGATTGGGAATTTTGATCTAGGGTTTTGAAAGAATGAAAATCTGTTTGTCAATTTAGGGTTTCTCTTCAAATTAGGGTTTTATTTTTAAATTAGGGTTTTTAAGATTAGGGTTTCAAACAATTTTGAATTGGTTACAGTTTATTTATTGTACATTCATTTTGAAATTAGGGTTTCGAACAATTTCGAATTGCTTATAGTTTTTTGTTATTGTAAATTCATATTTAAATTAGGATTATGATAGTATTGAGGCTAATTATAAAATTGTTATTGATGTTTTTTCTATGTTTAATTGCAGAGACAAATTTGCATTGATTGTCAATATTGAAGGTTATTTTGTGAACTGTGGACCTATTGTGGAGTATATATGTGGTAGTTTAAAGAGTATTTATGGGTTAGATGCTGATGGATTTGGCTAGTTTGACCTACAAGAAGAAATTAAGTAGTTGCCAGTTAATAAGTATGAAAAAACTGTGTATAGAATTCCTGGTGCTGGTGTTGGAGCTGACAGTTTGAGAGATGTAACTGATGATAAAGGGGTTATGGACATTATTAGTTGTGGTAAGAATAAGAAAACTATAGTTCAGATTTATGTGGTTGGTGGTGACATTAATGATGATTAAGCAGATGAGAATGCTGAGGCATCATTTCAGACAAAATCTTCTAGCCAGCAAGATACTGATGATAGGGAAGAGGTGAATGTTTTGAGTCAGGATGAGGCATCATTTCACACACAAGCTAGCCAGCAAGATATTGATGATAGAGAAGAGGTGAATGGTTTGAGTCAGGCTGAGGCATCAAATGAGGATGAGCCTGCAGACCAGTTGGAAGATATTAATGATATTATTGACAACTTCACTTCTGTTGAACATGGTGAAGGTGATGCAAAAACTAATAGTTCATGTGTTGGGTTGGGGTCACAAGAGTCATCTGATGATGAAGATTATTTTCCAACTGGGGTGAGTTCATCAAATGATGACATGTCTGATGATCATCTTTCTGATGATGATGAATATGTTCAGGCAAGAAAGAACTTAAAGGAGTCTAAGAAAAAAGTTCAAGATTGGGATGATAATGCAGGCTATACACATCCAATGGCCACTGCTGAGATGGACTTTGAAGAGGATCAATTGTTACATAATGCACTAATCTCTGATGAGTCAGATAGTGACAGAGATATGGATTTGGAAGGGAATTTTGTTAAAAAGAGGACAAGGTTATTGTATGATCCCAAGTGTAATCATAATTCACTGGAGTTTCAGCTTGGCATGAGGTTTGAAACCATTGATCAGTGCAAGAGAGTTGTGAGAAGGGTGGCAATTGTGCAAGGTAGAGATATTCAGAATATGAGGTGTAACAAAAGGCAATTGGAAGCTAGATGTCAAGATGGCTGCCCTTGGAGACTTTATGCCAGTGTGATTGAAAGAGAAAGTAGTGTGGCTATAAAACAATTGCATAAAGAGCATGTCTGTCATAGGAATGTGCACACTAGACAACTCACTGCTCAGTGGATTGCTGAAGTGTTTGGTGAAAAATTTAGAAGAAATCCAAACATGAAAGTAGCACAATTGGAAGAAGCAATTTTTGAAAAGTTTGCAGTTGTACCTACAAAGTGGAAGCTTTATAGAGCAAAGTGGAAAGCACTTGAAATGCTCAGAGGTTCTGTCATAAAACATTACTCCTTTCTGAGAAGTTATATGGCTGAGTTGATTAGGGTGGATAGAGAGGGCAGGTTTGAGTTATTACTTGGGGAAAATACCACATTAAGAGGCTTTTATGTGAGTTTTAGTGCTCTAAGAAAGGGATTCATCAGTGGCTGCAGACCCATCCTTGGATTTGATGGATGTTTTTTGAAAATTTTCTTAGGAGAAGCCTTTTTATGTGCCATTGCCAAAGATGGTAACAATCAAATTTATTCAGTGGCTTGGGCTGTGGTTGAGGCTGAAAATGAAGAGTGTTGGACGTGGTTTCTCTCAATTTTGTTTGCAGAAGTGGGTATAAGGGATGGCTTAGGATATACTTTCATTTCAGACCAACAAAAGGTTAATATTCTGTGCAATTTTGAGTTTTTGTTCTTAATTTCAAACATTAGCATGTTCTAAATATTTTTTTGTTTGTAGGGTTTGTTGAATGCTCTGAGGGACTTGGCCCCAAATCCTAAGCACAAAAATTGTGCTTGACATGTCTACATGAACTGGAAGAAGCAATTCAAGGGGCAAACTTTGAAAAATTTGTTCTGGAGGATTGTTCTAAGCACTCACATTGGAGACTACAACATTGCTTTGGAGGACTTGAAGGCAGAATGCAAAGAAGCTTATGAAGACTTTATCAACAGAGATCCTTCAGCGTTTTGTAAGGCATTTGTCTCTTCTCTTTCTAGGTGTGATATGATAGAAAATAATGTTAGTGAGACTTTCAATGGGTTTATAGTTAAGGGAAGAGGAAGTCACATCATTGAGATGCTTGAATTTGTAAGGACTAAACTAATGAATAGACAACATGAGAAATTGATGGAGTTGAGTGGACATCCTGACCAGCTTTGTCCTAGAATAAGATCAAATGTAGAACAGAATAAATATTTGTCAAGAGTGTGTGTCACAAAGCCTGCAGTTTGTGATAGGTTTCAGGTTGCTTTAGAAGATGATCAGTTTGTGGTGGATTTGAGGAATAATACATGTACTTGTGGACAATGGGATATAACAGGAATACCTTGTGTGCATGCTTTCTCAGCAATACACTTTCAGCATAAAGATCCTGCAGACTTTGTGTCTGAGTATTTCTATACTGAGAGGTACTTGCGCATGTATAACATCTCATTGGAGCCCATAAATGGAAAAAAAAATGTGGCCAGCTGCAGAAGGTTATCCAATCTTACCCCCTCCATTCAAGAAAATGCCTGGAAGACCTAAGAAAAAAAAAAAGAAGAAAGGCTCTTGAGGAAGAAGCCAGAAGTGTAGGCAAGTTGAGAAGGTTTGGGCTGATTATGACATGTCAAAGGAGTTTGCAAAAGGGGCATAACAAGAAATCATGCACCGTACCTCAAGTTGAGAAATCTGCTAAGGTTTAAATTTCCATTCATTCATAGTACTAAGTTTTTGTTGTTTATTTCTTTACATTCTTTAATCATTGTCATTTTCTTTGTATAAAAGCCAAAGGGAAGGCCCAGAAAGCATATTGCACCCCACACTGTGGTTTAAATTTCTATTCATTCATAGTACTAAGTTTTTGTTATTTATTTCTTTACATTTTTTAATCATGATAATTTTCTTTGTACAGAACCAAAGGGGAAGGCCCAGACAACATATTGCACCCCAAACCGAGGTTCAACCACCCCAAATTGAGACCATAATAAGCCCACCATCTGAGACCATGACAAGCCCACCAGTTGAGAGGCTGACAAGACCACCAGTTCAGAGGATGACAACCCGGTCTGTTGAGAAGATAAATAAACTGCCGGTTAGGAGGTGCAGTTAACGGTCATCAGTCATACAAAAAGAAATAGCCTTGGTAGTACTTTTATATGGAAATTTTCTGAAATTGGTACCAATACTAGACAACTCAATTATTTTGTTCATTTGTTTGGCAGGCAAGGAAAGGTTTTGGTATCTTGCAATCTGAGAAAACTGATAATGTTTACATGAAGGTATGGTTTTCTTATAAGAATTCACTATTTCTGAAATATAATATAATATAATATATTTATTGACTAACATATAGGATAATTATTGTATAATATAATGCAGTTGTCATCTGCAAAAAAGATTCATGTGATTTCAAACACTGCTAGAGAAACAGGCCAAAGTAGTGGCACAACCAGAGGGCAAAGCAGTGGGTCAACCACTGGTAGAGGAAGAGGGCAGAAGAGTGGGTCTACCACTGCTAGAGGAAGAGGAAGAGGGCAAAGTAGTGGGTCAACTGGGAGAGGTAGGAATGCAGGGGACTTCATATGCACTCAAGAGAGTGAGACTGGAAATTAAGATGTAGTATTGTTGAACTGATGTGGTACCATTAAACTGATTTTGTTGTTTTTAGGGTGTGTTGGTTTTGTGTGTGGAGACTCAGTAGTTTGAACTGATCTTTTGGATGTGTTTTTGAGTTTTGTGGGATCTGGATGTGTTATGGGATATTTATGTGTGTTGTTATGTGAAAATCACTTAAATGAAGTGTTTTGTTCTTTGAATGTGATCTGTTTATTGGAAAGGAAGTGTTCTTTAGAATTCATGTTATTTTATTGTGGGGTTTAGAATGTCTTCATGTGATATTGTGCCATGTCAATTCTTGTAACAGACATATGCATAGGCTTTCAATTCTTGTAATAATAATATGCACAATAACAGAAATAATAAGATAATTCTTGTAATAATAATACATTCATGCAAAAGGTTTTTAATTCCATTACATATATCAACCAAACATAATTCACAATTCACCTTCAAAACCTATGAAAAATACATAGGCTTCACAAAATCAAAACCATCAGTTCATCTTCAGCTAATGGACATAGCCATTTCTATCAAACACAATCACAACAAGAACCACAACAATAACAATCAAACAAATCATCACTACATATATTTTCCTTTCAAGGTTTTTCACTTGAGTTAAGGTCTTCTCAAGAACCAACATTACTTCAGCATTCTTGTGACCATCAACCTCAAGCCCTGTCACTTTGTTTTCAAGCTCCTCAAGTGAAGAGAAGCTTACTTCTTTCACACCCGACCTATCATTGTGCTGTTTTTCCATGGCCACCTTGTCCCGTAACTTTTCTTCTAAAGCCTTTTTTTGAGCCTTCAATCTGATGAAGCATGTCTTTTGGAACTCAGGCAATGCGGGATCAATCCAATCAAACAAACCACAATCTTTTACCTATTGCACATATATTTTAGAAAAAAAATTATTACATTTTATCCACCCTTTCTGAACAAAATTGCTGTAAAATTGCAGAATAAAATACAATAATAAATTACCTTTCTATTTGGACACCTGTAGAACCTCCTACATGGATTGTCGTCAGTGCCAGAGGTGAAAACATTGACCTCTTCCCTACAGGCGCACAGCCTCCGCACGGGGATATTGGATGAAGCGCTATGTTACGAATTAGGGCTTGTACGAGACGCGTACATTTTCAGAGGATAAAGCTGCGAAATTAGAGCAACAATTGGGGGAAGAACACGAATCGAAGCTGCGGAATCGTGAAGAACACGATCGAAAATTAGGGTTCAATGGATGTTGATACTTGTACGACTAAATTGGGATGAAGCTGTTGGATTTTGGGGAAGAACACGATAGGGTGATGAAGCTGCTGGATTTTGGGAAAGAACACAATCGAAATTAGGATTTCATTTTGGAGAAGAACATGAGGTGGAGCTTGATCTGGGGGAAAATGTGTGTATTTATACTGATTTTTACTGATTTTACCACATCAGCAACACGTTTGGCCACGTAGGCGCTAACAGATACGGTGGCAAAAATGAGACGGCCGTTTCATTTTGGGTTTGAGTTGCAAACATTGGACAAGGTTAGGCTTTTCGTACTAAATTCCAAAAATTTGGTTAAAACGACAAAAAGTTGTAAGGTCGTGTGCTTTTACGGGCAATTAGGCCAAACTATAAAAATCCAGAATTACTTCCAAAAAAACACCTTGTCCAGATAATGGCCGTGATGTAACGGAAGATGCAAAAAACAACGAACAAAATTATTTGCTAGGGGGAACAATAGAGCATAGAAAAGAAAAAAATGAAACACGGTTACACAAATGCATCCCCAAACCCAACGACTCTCCACCCTCTAAACCTAACATAGGTCATAACTTAAAAGACAAAAGGGTCTTTCATCTATCTATCTTACATGCCTTCAAGAAATGCTTCATTAACTTGATGCTCAAAAGTCAAATCTCACAGAACAGCATGTATGAGACAGCTGGCTGTCGAAAATCGGCAACTGTTAAGCTCTACAAGAAATAGTCGGGCGTCCTCCGAGTAACATCCGGTTCTCCTCTCCTTGGAGCTGGTTCAAACTGCAGTGAATCACAACACACAAAACACACATTATGCCATAAGCGTGAAAATAAAGCTTCCACAAAAAGATAATATGCAATTTTGCAATAAGAAAATGAGAGAGAAAACCTGGATGAAGGTATGCTCTCTGCAGTCATCAACTTCCAAAATGGAGGCCATATTTCCACACCGGTAACAGTAGTTTGGTGCACTAAAAATGGTGACAACCTTTTGTTCCTGTGTAAAAGGCGGGCCAAAATCAACAATAAACATCTATATCCTCCAATTTTGACCGACAATAATACAAGATCATAAGATTATGAGTTCAAATAATTACATGGGCCCAATTATATCCTTCCATAACCAGCTGATGGGCTCTTGCAATTAATTTCAGATTGTTGGTGTGGTTGAATTGCTCAGATATGTCCTGCAAAAAGTAGAACAAAAGATTCAGAATTAGGTAAGAAAGAAAAAAATAAATAAAAGTGAGTAAAATGCAATTTTAGTCCTGTATGTTTCACTACTACCCGAACTTTTTCGTCCTCTTCGAATTGCGTTTTTTATTTTCGTCCCGTATATTTGCAAAAATGTCCTTTTTGCAACAAAAAGGTCCTTTATGCAAAAAAAAGTTCCAATTTCGTCCATTATGTATGAAAAGGACATTTTTGTAACCTTTTTGCAAACATACGGGACGAAAATCAAAAACGCAATTCAAAGAGGACAAAAAAGTTAGGGTAGTGAAACATACAGGACTAAAATTGTAATTTACTCAAAAATAAAATTCAAGAATGGCAAACAGATTGAGTACTTGGCCAAAAGTGTATCCAGCACCACGAGGTGAGATACCCCAACCACATCGATCATCAGGATCAGACCACAAAAGATCGCACATTGGACCCTCGTGTGGAACTTCTTGAACACGATCAAAGTTCCTTATATTATCAAGGGTTTCAACAGATGGGGACAATCCACCATGCAGACAGAAGATTTCTGATTCAACCTACATAAACATCACCACGCAAATAAAACTCAAGGAATGTACAATTGATATCATCGTTCATAAAGAGATGCACGTAGCTAAAGTTACAAATTAAATTACTCCACATATTTTTGATCCTGCAAAACAATAATAAGAAAGGCTTGCTATTCATAATTGAGATCTACTTTCACTTACAAAGGCAGATATATACAGTAATAAGAAATTTCTACTCACCAGCGCAGTCAGAGGGAAATAGTCAAACAGGTCAGTGAATATCTTCCAAACATTGGCATTTCCATACCTTTAACAAAAGAGGGTTTTAAGATATTCGTATTAGTATCAGTAAAAGCAAACATTCATCTGAGAGTACGCGCAGAGTGAAAAAATAACACATTCTTGGGCACCACAGCTTCGTTACTTAAACAGATATAGGACTTGTATCCTTATTGACAACGCATTTTAACCATCTATAAATTTTCAGTACTAAATTCTTCAGCACAATGCAACATTTAGATACAGATAAAAGTAATCAGCAGGAGTCTCAACCGACACTATCATCATTATGAACCCACAATCATGTTTGTTACGAAATCACATGAAAAATTACAAAGCTTTATTACTAAGGTAGTCCAATTTACAAGAATATTCGGTTTGCGTCACTTAATCAAAGTCTACCAAGATTTTGCAGAAACGAGGACATAACTATATGATGCACATTTCTACAACAGTTTGGGAATAGTGATATGAGAAGAAAATACTCACTTCCTCAGACATTCATCATAAAAACCATATACTTGAGTGATCTGCAAGAAAGAAATTATTAACGACTTAAAGCATCAGCCAAAAACATAATGCTAAGTTGCTAACTCAAACAACACATACATTCAGCAGTCTGGAGCAATTAGATAAAGATTAATACCTACAGTATAAGAGTTTCAATTCCTCATATCCCAAGGTTGATAAAACGAGGAAACAAAACAGAAACAAAAATAAGCAAAATAATGGCAAGAAAAGCAAAAAAAAAAAAAAAATATGAACATTTCCTCTACATAACACGTAACCAACTGTCCGACTGACGTGGTGGATATGTAAAAGCTGCCGGCAGTCTCAGATTTTGTACCAACCAGCCATGCAGTGTTGATTGCACTATGACACTGCCTTTGCAAGACAATATATGTCTTCAATCTCGTGTTACTAATCAAAATTGGGTATGTTCACACAAAGGAAAATAATACATAACAATTTCTTAAAACCATATACAGCACCAAATTCAACAAAATACTTTTTCCATCACACATGCAGTTGACATGTCATCATAATTATTACCGCGTCCTTAGAAAAATTGAAAAAAAAAAAAAAAACAATGGAAAACTAACTCCATACTGTACAAGATGTTTAAAACTTTAAGGGATGAATGAGAAATAAAACTGAAAATTAAAAATACCTGTCGGCTTTCATGATTTCCTCGAAGAATTGTGATCCGTTGAGGATATCGCACCTTCAGAGCCACTAAAAGCTGCAGGAACACAAATCTATAAGGATCACCAATAACAGTATTCCTACAGAATTATGTAAGATGCATCACACAAGAAACATGTCATGTGACACTGGATCCACGCAACCACAACCACACCCAAAAAGAACAAAGGTGGGGAATCATTCGAAAACAGGAGGGAACAAACTCATATAGTAGCAATGTAGCACTACTATCATGACCTGAAATTCACAAGCTGGGCAGTGATAATGCTCAATAAAGTCAGTTTGTACTTACAGTGACAGTTTCAACTGAGTAGTATCCACGATCAACATAATCTCCCATGAAAAGGTAGTTCGTGTCTGGACACTGTCAATGATAAAATGGAACCATATTAGCAACAATACAACAAGCAATACATTTTCAAGCAGGATATTGAGTTATATAATAATAAATGAATTAAGTGAACATAAAGGCGTCAAAAACCCATGTCACAAACACCCAAGCAGCTAGGATTTTAGCCATCTTTCAACCAAAAATAAATAAGTAAATAAAAACCAGACTGGCAGAGATACAATGAAATAATTGACATGCCTTTATTTGTTAGCAACACAAGTTTATAGGAGATTATGATACCTTCCCTCCAATACGAAAAAGTTCGGCAAGATCATGAAACTGGCCATGAATATCACCACAAATTGTAACTGGGCTTTTTACCGGCTGCACGTAGCATCAAAGAAATCAATATAGAATATTAAAACAAATTATTATTTATAATATACAGAACATGACGATGCATGATGAACTTGATGCAGGAACACAAAGTTAAGCATGGATGGCGGAAGCATTATTAATAAAGTTTACAGAAGAATAGAGATCGCATACAATTCAGAGAGCCACCTATAAACTAAGAGTAAAATGCAGAACATATTCAGAATGCTTATGTTTAGAAAAATGAATGCAAATGAGTATTCTTGATCAGATGACTTATAATAGATTTATGCAATGGAATAATTTTGGCCCAAGGAGCTGGCAGACACCATTTTCACTAAATTTGACATAATTTTAAGGTATCTTCCCTTCCATATCCCTCGATACCCCTTCCACTCCTTGAAAACAAAAATATATAGCAATGAAGAAAGGTAAAATTATTCATATAAAATAATTAATTGAACAGAAGAGCCTACTACCTTATCACTGTTTATGCAACTTTAAATTTATAAATTCAATAAAGCTCGATGATTCAAAACGAAGTTGTGTCCTAATCAGTTGATCAATGTGAATAATGTAGAAATATTTAGAGAACTATGCATAGATCATACCTGAACATTACTTTCATCCATTAATATCTCTTTTGCCTTCTCGCACAAGCCCCGAACCTACATTTACAAAATCAACAAGACAGATCAGACCACAATGCGAACCCATCAAAAACTTTGCTACCATGTCATAAATAAGCTAAAACTACATTATCCATTATAACTACCCAGTGTCTGTCACATTTGTCCGTTCTTCAAATCCAGTCCTTCATAGATAAAGTTATCTTGGAAAAGCATAATCATACCAGGCTTGAGAACAATGTCATACTCCATACAATACCAATCAATGGGAGTTATTTCCGCAAGGACACCATGGACAATCTGTGGACTATGACGAATAGCAGATGTGGGCATGCAGCAATCTATATTCAACTCTTCAACAATTATGCCCAATTAACAGACACTACTAACTGCCACAAGATACACTGAAGATGGAACACATACAAAATGCAAAACCTGGTGTTTCTTCGTCTTTCACTCTCTACACTGTCTGGGTTTTCTTGCAATTTCATCAATACATTCATCAGTAGTAAATCATCATCGGTAACAACAGCCACAACAAATCTTATTTCCCTTTCATCCCAAATAGCATATCCTTCGTTCCTCAATAAAATAAGTATCCATTCTTGTCCAATTATAGTTGAACCAATGACCACATTCTCAATCTATGAGTTCGTTAAGAGTAGATCATATTCGCAATAAACAAAAATTGAAATTTACGGATCCAGCTAAACACATCAATACATTATTTCCCCACCCCCATAACTTTCCAAGAAACACTAGGGGCTGGCTCAAACTACAAAAGTTTGGAAATTTCACTCAATAAAGCGAACAAAAGTCACATATTTAACCCAGATTTTTGTCAAATTCACATCTACCAGATCCGTAAGAGCTCAACCCGTAAAAATGAAAACAAATCATCAAAACCAAATTAGAAAGAAGATACGGGGACATGAAGAAACCTCTGGTTCTGACAACGGCTTGCACTGCATGAGCTGGGAAATCTGCTCGTCAAGATTCCCATGTGTGCTCTCAGCCACCAGATCCGCACTCATCTTGCTCTATTCTCCGTCTCTTTCCAGATCCAACCGTCCGTTCTTCAGTACGGCCCCGCTTACGAAAAACAAAGAAAAAAATGGTTCCCCCGAGAAGATATGCCTCAACCCTAGGCCAAGATTCAGCGTACTATGGATGTATGGAGAGTAAAAGTGCAGGAATTTGTATGCGTGTGTGGAGAGAGAGATAGGGGAACTCGTGATGGAGAGGGTGTGGAACCGAGGGAGAGATGCCAAATCGATCTGCGCTTCCAATTATAAAATTTGAGAAATTTGAGATGAGTGTTACTACCTTATTATTATTCTTTTGCCCTTACTAATAAAAAATTCAATTTTTAATTCATTTTTTTTAACACT